AACAACACTTACTCACATTAACTAGGTACACTGAAGCTTGTCTAACCTAACCAAGGGGGAGGATTCCACAGGAACCCCCCCCCCCGATGTGCCATAGGTTGACCTAGAAGAGAAAAGGCTAGCCCCGTTCATACGAACCAAGCTCGCCTCTTTTACCCACCTTTTGCTAAAGACTGTCGAATGCAATCGTTTTCTATCAGTTCTAATCTTCATCTTGAGCTTATGCTCAAAGAATCGGATTAGATCCTGATGAGAAAGACGGTTGCCTCGCAAGACTTCCTCCTTTCACGTCGTCCAAATCACCATTCGAGCCGTGGCTAGTAGCGTCAGAAACACCATCCATTTCACCCCAGAACATGGGGGCGACGCATTATCACACGCGTATGTGCGATCAATGAGCACAAGATTTTCGGGAGCGAGACGAGCCGTCAGCTCGCCGACATGGTTCCATAAGGGGCGGACCCGGGGGCAATGGTAGAAGGCGTGCGAAGCCGTTTCTTATGTCCTGTAATCATCTAGTTACCCCCCACCACCACCACCCTTGCCCTTTTTCAACAGAGTGGTCACACCCCTGGTGATCCTGTTGAGGATGGACCCCGACCGAAACCAGTTGTTGAACACTGCAGTCAAAATCGGAACAAAGATGTGCGACAGCCTCAAGCACACTTCATAGGGCAAACCATCCAGACCGGACGACTTGCCTCTGCCGACCTTCTTCAATGCCGTATAGACTTCGCCCTCCGTGATCTCTCCCACGCAGCTAGCCGCTTCAGTCGGCGAAAGCCGAGGAAAGTCAGCCAAATAGCTACGAAACTCCTCCTCACGGAGACCAGGCACTTTGGTAAACCGGCTCTCGAAATGCCGCCGAAACGCCTCGCACACGTCGTCAGTGGCCCGAAGAGTACGCCCCTCCGGGTGTTTGACTTCACGAATGCAACGATCGCCACCTCGACGGACCTCTTCCCTGCACAGATCTGCGCCCAAATTCACGGCTTCGGAAGACATCTTGCTTAACTTATGTCTAATTACCTGGCCCATGTAACGCTCGCTATTCGAACGATCCAGGGCCTCCCTAGCTAAGGCTATCTCTAGGGGATCCCCCCCAGCCATCGCCCGGAAATAATTAGCTTTAAGTGTCTTCACCTTTTCAGGTCTATCTAGGGCGGGTTGCTTGCCGAAATCAGTGGTGAAAGACCTAATCTTACACTTAAGTCGCTCCCACCACTTATTCCTGATAACCGCCCCCACTTGCTTCTGCTGCACTAATCTAGTTAGCTGCTCCTGGAAGTCCCGCCTGTCCAGTAAGGACAGATTGAACTTCCAGTACCCAGCCATTCTAGGCCTATTTCCTAACGCCACCTGGGCACAAACGAGTTTGTGGTCCGCATAGCCTACCCAGTGGAACGTGGGACAATCTAGTAGATCTATGTCGGCTCTTCTAACTAACATTCTGTAAAGGTAGCTAACTACCTTGTCAAAAGGCCAATTAAGAGCCCACGTCCACCATCGCCCCCCGGGGTGATCGACCCGGTATCTATCGACGAGACCGTAATCGTCGATCAGATCAACCAGGCTACGATCGCCCCTTCTCCCACTAGCACCCCGCCCCCTGTCTAACTTGGGGTCCAGGATGACATTCGAGTCCCCCATTAGAACTAAACGCGTCCAATCCACTAGGAACGGCCCCAACCGCCAAAAAAACGAGACCCGTTTCTCCCGGTCATTGGGCGCATAAAACGCAACGACTCTGAACGAACCACTTTTCACGGCAATATCGGCCACGATCAACCGGCCCTCGGCATCGGTATGCACAAAGTCCACCTTCGCATCAAGAGTACGTCTGACAAGCAAAGAAACTTTCCTGGGAAACCGGTCCCCATATGCTGAATAGACGACAAAGTCGTCCTCCAACACACACGCATCGGAACTGCAAACAAAGTGGGTCTCTTCGATCGCGGCAACATCCACACCAAAGGACAAGAGGTCCTGAAGCAGGCTGGCAGCCTTACTCTGATTCCGCAAGCCCCTTGCATTCAGCGTCGCTATCTTAATTTCCATCTTCTAAGTCCTGTAAAATAAAAAAAAACAGAATTAACCTATTGATATACGGGGCGGAAATCTGCAGCGGTAAGGAACCCGACGGATTGTCCCAGGTTCCCTGTACCCAACTGGGTCGTCATACGATCGCCCAGGACAACACCGCCAACGTCCGTGGGGTAACTTAATTTAATAGCTCTATACAAAGAGGGATGGAGCAGAACAGGGACCCTCCCAGAGCAAAAATGCCTCATTTTCTTTAAGTCCTCATTATTTTCTTCAACCACTCTTATTTTAGGGTAGGCTTCTTGAGCCTCATAAAGATGGCTCCACACTTTCAGGTACGCTCCAGTGTCTCTTACGACGGTGATGACTCCCGGGTCATTAGGGAGGTTTCGTGGATCTTCAACCGACTTCCCATCCACCTCCTCAAGTTTAAACAGGAGCCCCAAAAGGGCACTATTTTGTTTAGGCAGGCCTTTTGGGGCCTCTTCCTTGTCACTTTACAAATCCCATCGGGACCCGGAAAGTATTTTTTCTTCTTTTTCTTCTCCCTAGGACGATGGGGAGAGAAGGAAGTGGATGCGTGCGGAGAAGTAGCAGGTGAACAGGGGTGTAATGGGGGAAGAGGGGGTTGGAGTACGAGAAGGGGAAGTAGGGACGCTCCTAGCTTTGGGAGAGCTTGACGATCTTATTGGTGAAGCAGGGAAGGAGAGCCGCCTGGTTCTGTCCATGCTTCGCTCCGCCCTGCTACGACCAGAAATGACATTTCATGCTCCTCGGGATCTTCTTCCCTGCTCTTCTTCAAGGACGCAGCTCGCGGTGGAGGCATTCTGTCCACCTCCATTGCTGTTTCTTCCTCCATCTGCTTCTGTTGATGGAGGTGTTGCTGCTTCTGCTCCTGTTGCTGCTGCAGTTTTTGTTGTTGTTTCTGCTGCTTCTGTTGCTGTAGTTTTTGTTGTTTCTGCTTCTCCTGTTGCTGCAGTTTTTGTTGTTGTTGCTGTTTCTGCTGCTGAAGCTTCTGTTGTTGCTGCTGAAGCTTCTGTTGTTGCTGCTGAAGCTTCTGTTGTTGCTGCTGGGGCTTTTGTTGTTGCTGCTGGAGCTTTTGTTGTGGCTGTTGCTGGGGTTTCTGTTGTTCTTGTTGCTGCACCCTCTTCTCCTGTCGCGCTGAGGGAGAGGGTGGAGACGCCACTTTTCCCCCTTTCTTCACCTCAGTCCAGGCTCCCGGGGCAGCCTTTTCTTTTGTTGGTGTCGCCTCTGCCGCTGCTGTTGCTGTTGCTGTTGCTGCTGCTACTATTGTCGTCTCCTTTGTTGGCTGCTGGTCCTTTTTCCCGGGCCCTCCTTCGCCATGTGCACCATCGCACCACACGCCCAACAACACGGCCTCCTACCCTCCACCACCACCACCAGCATCCTCTTATCCCGGCAAGTCAGCACGTTTGGGATGTCCCGAAAGTTGTCTCTGTCAAGGACCACTTGGAGTACCATGTCCCCTGACTTGCTTCTGACAGCACTCACTTCCTCGACTTGCCCAAACTTTGCAAAAAACGTCCCTATTCTGTCCTGGGGAATGTCGACAGGAACGCCGTGAACCGTTATTCTTGTCCCCATGTACTCCGTTTGGAGCCGCAAGTTTGCTGTGGACAAGATATTCCCCGCCAGCTGCTTCGCCTCTTGCTCTGATCCAAGCAGAATGTCCCACATGGCATTGCTCCTGCGGGCCAACATCTTGGGGGCAATTTTGAGGGTCTTCAATGCATCCTCCACATTATCGCTGCTGACTCCAATGGCTTTTGACATCTGATGTCAGCAGAGAGATAACTTTTACCTTGATTGCATTCAAGGCCTCCATGATTGTTAAAAAGTCATCCCCTTTTACATACTCTTCGTATTTGACACGTTGCTCTTCATAATACGCAGAGTCTTTTTTTCCTCGGTCCACTTTCGGACGAGGCCTGTGTCTTCGCAGGTGATAAATTTTGGGTTTGCGCCGGCGGTGATTCCGCTGGTGGAGTCATGTTTACGTTTGTGTCGTCGGCCATTTTGACCGCGCCAAACGAATAAAACTATATTCCTTTTAATTTTTTTTTTTTTTTTCTCAAAAAGCATAAACAGAAAATAAGACGGAAAATAAAACGGAAGAAAAAACGTGGACAACCAAAGATAATTCAAACAAATAGATGCAAAACAAAGTAATGCAAACAAAAATGGTGGGGAGGGTAAAAATAGCAAGAAGGGAAATAAACAAAAGAAAAGAAACAAAATACACAAATAAACTAAAAACTGAAGAATTCAAAAAGGTTTTAGAAAATAAAATCAAAAACTTAACAGTTCAATTTCCAAAGCTTGTCCAATTCGTTAAAAAAAAAAAAAACCAATACTCCAACTTTTGGTATATGAGCTCGCGAGCTAGCCCAAATGACTTGACTCACTTTATAGTCCACCAATAGAAGGTTAACCAATCAGAAGACGTAGAATATTCAATCCGTCGTGTATAAAGGCGGCCATTTTGTTTACTCTATCCGAATGTCCAGTGCCAGCTTGTCAGGCAAAGAGGAACAGAAGGAAGAACTACGCTCTGTTACTTTACCGGGATATCCACTGCTAATCTGAACAATGCTTCCCTCCTGTCTTCGAAATATTCACTGCTAACCTCTGGATTCTATACTCAAAGACGACCGTCATCATGAACAACAATGACTTTCGAGGGAACCGGAAACCTAATCCTAAACGGGAAACAAGGGATAAATCTCTACTCGTGTTCAAAAGACGGGGGAGTCTGTGAACCGGACGATAGGCAAACTTATCTACTCGTAAAAATAATATAAATAAATAGTAAATAAAAGTTCAGAGTTTTATACGAAGATGGTAGAAGTATATAGTTGAAGTGAACTTTAGAAGGAAGCGAAAACCCAATATTAAAATGGAAACAAAATTAGATAGATTGATAGATAAGGACAAACGCGAATTAGATAGATAGATAGATAGATAGATAGATAGTGTTATATATCGTACCTAGGAATATTAATGGGTATATCCCAATCCTCATAAATACTTTGGACACTATTATGTAGGGGGTAATATGCTGTCTAAGTAGTCCACCATTAGCAGTGGTTTACCTACTTCACGCCGCTGGCGAGTATTGTATTTTGTTATTTATTATTATTTAATTTCCAACATCCATTTCTGGTTATTCCACATTTAGTAAGCATTTCTAGGTTACAATAGATAGATAGATAGATAGATAGATAGGGACAGACGGAAATACTAGATAGATAGATAGATAGATAGATAGATAGATAGATAGGAACAGACGGAAATAAAATAGATAGATAGATAGATAGATAGATAGATAGATAGATAGATAGATAGATCTGAATAATGTGGCCAAAATAAAACATTCTAATTACTAGAGTGATCTGTTAGTAAAAGCCTTTGACCGAATCACTTTTCACAGTCAGCCCTAAGCAATACCTTCCAGTTCTTCCCCAACACCCCCCAGGGATTATTTATATACACAGATAAGTGTTTATCAGTCTTTAATTAGATCTACCGTTTGGCTCGGCGCAACTTATGTTTTCGACGCGCGGTTTCACTGAAGTTGCTTGTACGACCTAATTGGTTTCGAAACGAACGGGCATTTCCCACAAAGCTTGTACAAGAAAACCACTGTCGTATGTAATATGAATAAAGAAATCTGAAATGATTGTCAACCTTGACCGGTTCAATCCATGTTTTGGCCTGTGTTTTAATTTGGTTAGAATTTCCGGTTCATGATAACGATAATATTATTGGTGGGCGGTAGGCATTCGATGACAACGTATATCCATGTCTTACAAAAGAATGGGATCCATATCTTCGCTGCTGCTGTCATAATGTTCCGGCTGGTATGTCAATCAATCTTACTCAGCAAAGAACAGACTTGGAATGACTCTTACTAGACACACACGCATAAAGATATATATATATATATATATATATATATATATATATATATATATATATATATAATGTAAATCTATTTAAACGCGGTGAAAAAAAAAAACCTGGATAGCACAATTTTCAAACAAATTGGTATCCGAGTAAAAAAAAATAAAAAAAAAAAAGAACCAGAAATGTCCGAACAGGGCGAACGAAATCATTCAGTACCTTAAATTTCTGGTACAAAGAAGAAAAAAAACAAAAACAGCGAGTAATAAATTAAAATGAAAAGTGCTCAATACACTGAGTAAAACAAAGGTAAAATAAATAAATAAATCCTTATACTAGGTAGATTTACTACCTATGGGGTTCCACTGCATGGGATCATTAGTTCACCCTGATGATCCCATATATGGTAAAACCTAGGTAGGTAGTATAATTTATTAGGATTAGATTATATATATATATATATATATATATATATATATATATATATATATATTTATTTTGTGTTAAAATAATGTTGTTTATGAATGATCATGCCATACCCTCATAGAAATTGAATCTCTAATATTATATATATATATATATCTATCTATCTATCTATATATATCTATCTCTATATATATATTGATAATATTAATGGTTAATATATATATATATATATATGAATTTCAAGAGGATAGAATCCAGGTAGAACTCAATGTCCAGGACATAGTAAGAATATAATATAAAATAGTTTAAACATTAATATTCCATTTTTTGACATTGTGATGAAAGAAGAGCCTAAACACGCATATACGCACATATATTAGGGTTAATTTGATTATAGCAACAGAATAAAGGTCACGTGGGAGTCTTATGACATTTTTGGGAAGGCAGGTCAAAATTTTTATTACCCAATTTCCTCAGAAGGACAAATGTCTAGACAGAAGCTAGACAGAGGACGGATGTAAGCTGGAATTCACGCCAAAACTTAAGACACGTGAAGTCAGAGATTCACTCGAGAATCAGTTGCTATCTTGACTTTGAAAAGACAAGACCTGAAGCCGAAGCGCTGATAGTTTATGAACGGAAAGATAAGACGCATTTGATAGTGATGGAATTTATCCAGTTCAACCCAGGCAACTCCGGACAAGAAATATAAGAAGTATTTTTCCTGTTCGATAACCCCAAATTGAAGACGCAGAGAAATTTATACGCTGAGGATTCAGCCTGCGTTTAAATTTAAAAAGGAAAACCAGAGAATAAATATATATCTCTGTTACAAATTGAATTGTGTAAAGAAAAGAAAAAGGAAAACCAGAGAAGAAGTGTGTATTTATCTGTTATAAGCTGAATTGTGTAAAGAAGAAAAGAAAGAAAGAAAAACCAAAGAAAGAGGAAGAAAGTGTACATCCCTGTTGCAGTGAGTCGGGTTTGGAAACCGAGCTGTCTACAGAAGAAAAGGAAGGAAAAGAAAAAAAAGGAAAAAAAAAAGAAAGGAAGAAAGTGTATACATCTGTTACAGCTGGACAGTGTGTGAAATTGGGTTTGTGTCAAGAAAAGAAAAGAAAGGACATTGATATAAAAAAAAGAGAACTGAATATAAAAGATAAGTAATCATATTTTGGGACCCGTAGTAGAAAGATATACATACATCCATGAATATTATGTTTTTGCAAACACCTTTCCACATGTCAAAACAATAATTGTAACTCCTATCCCATCTCTCTTTTTGTATGCGTTGGTTTCATGCATTCAATTCATAGTAATTCATACTTATATTTTTGTATGTTCGAGTTCAGTTGAATCCATTTGGTGTTAGGCGAATTTTGACATCCCAACGTAAGTTTTGAGATCCGGTCGTCGGATGTTTTAACTCATACTTATCTGTTCTTTTATTTTCTTATTTATATATTTGTACATATTAAAATTCTTGTATCAAAAGTCGCTAAGCCTTATAGTTCATCCTTGTATTGTGGTTCAGTATTTGTGTTGAAAACGAAGCGGACCTGGGAAAGATTATTGTTCGATTATCCCAATCGAACAGTTATTCTTAAAAATTTTTTTGTTTACCAATTGTCCATTGTCACGATCTGAGAGAGATACAGGTGTGAGAATTGTATATCTCCACTAGGTGTGATATAATGTATATATTCGTCGACTGGTCGGAGTAGCCTCGCCTTATAAATATTTATTCGTCGACTAGAGCATATTAAAAAAATATAAAATGTTTTATGAAAGACAGAAGTTCTTAAAATCAAAATGATAAAATTCATGGATATTACACAAGAAAAAATGAAATATAATGATTGCAAAATAAAAAGCAAAGTATCAATGAAATTAACTTGTAATTGCAAATTTTTTTTAAAAGATAAATCTACCTTTGTTCTTTAACATAAGGTAAAAAGGTTGACTATCTTTGATGAATTAATGTAATAGGGGATATGTTTTGGACACATGATAAGGTGATAAAAAAACTGCTTATGTTATAACCACAAATGAAATTTTTGGCCTTTCATTGTGCTTTAAAATAATTTTTTATATATATATCTATATATATATATATATATATATATTTCATTCAATTTCGAAATTTTCTCTCTCTCAATAAACATAGGATGCCCACTAGTTTTTCGTATACATTGAGAAAAATTTTCCGTCATTGTTGGTGGTGGTGTTTTTTTTTTTTTTTTTTTTAAATTCGTTGTTTTTTCTTGTTTTCATATAGATTTGTTTTTGTCATTATATCGTTAACAATGCTATTATATTTTCATGAAAATTTGGGTGAATATCCACCCATTCGAAAAATTATAATGTCTTTTTATAGATTTTGTCTTTTTGGGCCAACCATTTCTACAGTCCTAAATAAGAATGGTTGGACAAAAAAAAAAACATACAGAAAATTAATTAGGAACAAAAAGCTAAATATCGTTTGGTCCTTAAACTTTAAATTTTGAAAGAGGTCTAATTATTTATTTATTTCCTTTAAATTGACAAGTTATTAATTATAATAGGAAAAAAAAAAAATTTGAAACAAAAACAATATTTTGTGTCTATTTTATTTCCAAATATCATTTTTATTTTTTATTTTTTTTGAATTATTTATTAAATCATGCCAACTTGGTTCCTAAATACGTTTTTTTTTTAGTTAAAGGCGGGATTTATTAAAACATTATATCCTTTGATTTTGAAAGAGAGAGTTGAAAGGCAAAAAATAACAAATAAAAATGGCAGTTGACAAATTTCCTTTTCATTCACGATTTCTGTTTTACAAAAGTCCATTCCGTTTTATTAAAGAAACGCCTACAAAAAATACATGCTAATGCCACAAAAAAAAAAAAAAAATGGACATGTAACATCTATCTTTCCAATGAATATTTTGAACACGCAAAAGTATTGGATACACACTGTTATAACTAAACAAACAAATATATATATATATATAGAATATTGTCAACATACAAAGAATGTGTCAAACTATTTATATATATATATATATATATATATATATATATATATATATATATATAATTATTTTTAAAAAAATTATAAAAACTGGGTATGTATATACATATATTTGGCAATATATATATATATATATATATATATATTATATATAATCAGCATTTAATTCAATATATGAAAGGTTTTTAAATTTTATTTTACTTTTTTAAATGAAAAAACACGCCAGGTTTTCATTTCGCTTTAATTGAAAGATAAAATTTAAATTTTTAAGTGGAAAAAATTTCAAAATGTATTTCAAACAGAAATTTAAATATTGATCGGAATCGATTTTATTTTATTTATTTTATTTTTCCTTTAAAAAATCGATCAAAATTTTTAATGTTTTGATAGATTTATAAACAAAATTAATTCACAAACACACAAAAATCACGCTAAAAATAAAATATATTTATGAAATGTTATTTGAGGAAATACAAATTTAAAGTTAATATAATGATTTTTAAACAAATATTTTATAGCAAAATTTGCAAACATTTAACTAAAGTTCAACTTCCCATAAAGATGATTTCGGCAATCAATCAAATGCACAGTGACTATTTTTGGTGAAAAGAATGAGAAACATTAAAAAGAAATATACAATTCTAGTCAATCAAAAAAAATTAAAATTAAAAATTGCTGACATCATGATAAAACAATAAAAACCTGCAATATTGCAAATTCTGAGTATTATTTATGAATTTGCTGTGTTTCCTGTTCAAACCAAATTGAAAATAATTATTTGGACATAAACACTACATGCCTAACAATAAGACTCATTTTTCTTTCTGACCATAGCTTTAAAATTCATTTTAAACACACATTGGAGACATAAAATGAACATTCATATACAATCAAATGTATATACAAATGGACTAAAATGTGAAGCCTTGAAAAATCAAAAAATGATGGAAGTTTTATTAATAAATTGCCAACACTTGATTATTACCAATATTATCAATATATG